CACAGAACGACCACTGTCATGGCTATCCTAATGGCACAATTAGGCTGTATTACAGTCACACCTAATTTAAGTACTCCAAACTACCTCTGTTGTCTGTAGGTATGACTCTGTAGCCTGCTTCCTAATAGAGAGGGTAACACCCCATTTAGAAAGTGTATGTAACAGCAACACATGCAGAGAACACACAAACATGAAAGTCCAATGAAAGAAAGGATTATAAGCCCTCGGCTCCATTGCATGACTAAAAATCTAAGAAATATCAGTTATGAACTAATTAACAGAACTTGTTTCTCTCTTGCACTACTTTCTGGAACTTGGCTAAGTTAAATGAATGGGTAGTACAGAAATCAGCTCTTAGTCTCCCATTTCTAACAAGTTCCTCAAACTTGCTGGTTTTAGATAACACTTTTATCATGCAACAGTCTAAGCCAGCATACAATTAAAGAGAAAGAAACAGATTGTTAAAATAGCACTTCTTCAATTATCCAGTATTTACATCACCAAATTACTTTTATTGACCAAGTGAAATATCACAGAGCTTTTATATTCAGAAAAAGTGCTTCAGAAGTATTCTTGGTTTTGTGTTTGACTGTTGTAACACACTAGCCTGCCTTGAGTTTAGCACAGAGGAATTAATGCATAGGAAAAGAAAACAGAACTTCCTCAAAACATTAGCTTACAACTGTGTATCAAAGGTACCAGCTGAAAATGTTGTAAAAAGTGTATTACTAGTGTGGGGGGGGAGAGGGTATGTGTTTTGTCTTTTTTTAAAAGGTATCACATAAAAGTAGCATTATTTCAGACTAATTTTTACATCACTTTCCCCTCCCTAATTTAATGACTGGGTTACATGACAAAATCCACCTGTCTAGATCGTGTTTTATATGGACTAAACCAACAGTATTAATTTCAATATACCTATCCCTTGCTTTGGGAACAATGTTGCTCAAATACCTTCGCAGGGACTTTTACTACAAAAGTAGCTTTTATTCTCTGCTTCTATTCAGGTCTCCACATACTACTGCCTCTTTCAAAACTGCAGGGGAGGGGTTAATTTTCTTCTTTACAACTTCCTGTTTTGTAACATCCTTCCTTTCCTACTCATACCTGTGTGCCCATTCTGAATGCAAATACAAGACACTTGCAATACTCATGTTAGGTTAGTATCATTTATTACATACAAGGATAAATGCAGCCAAAGTTTATTTTCTATAGTTATTTCTAGGAGTTATGCAAACCTGCTGACTAAAAATTTATTTTGCTAGTAAATGCTTCAAGGAACACAACACTATGTAAACCACATTTCTGACAATGGCTTAATGCACACAACTCCTCACATGTGTGCGTACACACGGGGGGGAGGGGAAATCACACTCCCAAAACTTGATATTCTCCAGTATTGAAACTATGTCTCTTTATGCTTTCTTCATCTGGCCTCTTCTGCCTTTTTCTGTGCCAGCAACAGCCCTCTTGATGACACATTTGTTAGCTACCTTTACAGCCACCTTTGCACCTTCCTTCACAGAACATCTCCAACACAAGAATGCTCTTCTCGAAGAGAATCAATAAGGCTGCTGCCCTTGACAAAACCTGCTCCTTCCAACACAGGCACAAGAAGAGACAAGTCAAGTGCTCTACATGCTTATTCGTTTACCTTACCTGTTAATTTACAAGAACATGAATCTCTGATGAATATATACAGGCACCATAGAATTAAACATTAATAGTACTGAAGGGACAAAAAGCCACCTAGTTTAAAAAAAATAAACTGATGAAACACATCTACACCTCATTACTTTGTTCTTTATAACCCCTTTCTTACTACCTTTCAGCTGTCACTTTAGATTTGTCACGCACTGTGACCACAAACATGGCTTTTCTGTGTCTGTTCTGTGCATTTTGTGAGGTAATGTAATAAATATTTAACAAAGAGTTTATATTACCATGCCAATTAAGCTCACAACTGATTTAAAGCCAAAGCCACTGCTAGATACGAGACTTGAGAGGCACAGCAACAGACCTCCACAGAACACATAGATTAGGCAAACCTGACTGTATGCAGTTCACATTTCAGTAAAATACATCAAGTAGTTAATTTCAAACTACTTAAGTAAAACATCAGAGCCAGAAAGTGCCTACATGGGTCTCAAAAAGAAACTAAAAGAAAACAGCCACCAAAATCCCAAAGCCCTCACAACTGCCTCCAGTTCTAGATCTTCTTTGTACTTAAGCAGACTGAAATTCTAGTTACACATCTAAACAATGTATGTATACACCTGTCAGTCATCCATACCTTCTATGTGTTTATTTGTATTAGAGCAAGCATAAAAAGCAACTAAGGCAGAATACGCTTGAGCTAACACCTTTATTCCCTTAAGGCATTTGTGTGTAAACACTTGAAAAAATAGATATAATTACAAGGGAAACAAATCAATCTAACCCAGAACATTGTGTGCACCTAAGGACTCAATTACATACCTTGAAAACATACAATCACTTATTTAGGAACATCCAAGAGGTCAGATGTTTTCTATTAATTCATTTATGCAAATCTGTTTGAGTAAGTTGCTTTTGGTTTGGGTTTTGTTCTTTTGTGTTTTTTACCAAAAAAAAAAGTAAATCCGATTAAACATAAGAGTAATTTTTATGCAGTAACTTCCATATAAAGAGTATGCACATATAAATGACAACACATCTAGAATAAAATCTCCTATAAACATACAAAATACATAGTTTTCTGTATGTGCTTTATCAGGCCTCAAAACTACTTTTCTCCTCCCTTTCATTTCCCACAGAAAATAAGAAAAAAATAGAAAATATCAATTTTCTTCTACTAGGCAGAGTGATTAAGCTGATTAGCTTCCTATCTCAGGAATTAACTTGAAGAAATGCTTACACATTAGCAGGAAACAAGCGAAAGTTCAACTGATAAAAACAGTTACCCAGATCGGAATCAAAACCGTGAAGTTGTGAAATTCCAGCAAGTTTAAGAAAAGAACACAGCATGCTTTGACCTTTGAAAACATATTAAATCCGTAAAAAATGGGCAAGTTTGACATGAAACTTAAACCACATGAAAGGTTACAGCCTTTCAATAACGATCCTGGGGCAGTATTTCAGAAAGGCTCCCACTCCCATTTTACTAAGGTTTCAGACTGAGGCCAACAAAACTAGGCCACAGACAAGATGCAGGATCGGAAGCCAGATTTCCCATGGTTTTACCCCAACTGTGACTCAAGTTTAAACAGTGGTTTTGAAACCAGCTCTCTCTCTGTGGCCACAGGCAAGTCTTAACCACTTTGCCTCAATTCCCTTACCTGCAGAATAAAAACAATTATACTTATCTGCCACACAGGAATCTCGTACAACATCGTCTGGCAAGTGCACATATGTTTAAACTGTGGACAAGCCTACGTAATTTTGAGCATCTGCACAAACTGAAACTGAGAGTGACAACAACTCGGCTGAAGCAGCCAGCAAAGGCCCAACAACAACAACAAAATCCTAGGGGCAAAACACCGTTCGCGTGGTGGGTGCTTTTTCAAGTCCTGCTTCCTAACCAGCTGGCCCGCTAGCGCCTGCACACCCCATTCACTGACTCGGGACATGGCTCTCAGAGGAAGCCAGCGCTGTTCCACATCTGGCCGGAGCGATCGGCGAAGGGGTCGCGGCTCCAGCCCCCCCGCGGCAAGCACTGTACAGCCGGTGTTTCAGCTCTGCGCTCACAACTCTCGTGTCCCTTCCCTGCCACCACCAAGGCGCCCGCAGCCCCTGCCCACGGGGATCCGCGGCAACACCAAACCGGCTCGGGGGGGCAAAGCTCACTCGGCCCCTGCCCGGGCACCGATCGGGCCCGGAGCAGCGAGCACTGCTCGGTGAGGCCACGCTGCGGAAGCGGCCCCGGCGGCCCAGCCAGGCAACCTGCCCTGCCCCCCGCCACCATGGAGGCCCCGAGCCGGGATCCCTCCTCCTCCCTCCTACCTCTCCCCCGGGAACCGCCTCGGGTGGGAAGATGGCGGCTCCGGCCGCCTCCCCGGTGAGAGGGGGGTGGCGGAACGGGTGGGGTGTCTCTCCCCGTCTAGCCCCGCCATTCCCCCTCACAGAGGAAGATGAAGGTGGAAAGGTGGAGGAGAGGCCCAAGCGGGCGCCGCTGTCGGGAGGGCGCGGGCCCCGGGAGGCCCCTCACACTCACCTGTCACCAGCAGCAGCCGCCGCCCTCGGGACGGGCCTCGACGGGAAGCAGACAGCCGGGCACGGGGGGGGAAGTATCCGCTGGTGCCGGGGCCTCTCGCTCCTGCCGGACTTTCCGCTAGCGCCGGGGCCTCTCGCTGCGCTGCCGCCGCCGCCGCCGGGGCCTCGCCGCCGCCGGATGCCAGGAGGAGGAGAGCGGAGAGGGGGGCGGGGGCCGGGAGGAGGAGCGGGCGGCGGCAGCAGAGCGGGGAGGGGGGGTCGCGGAGGAGGAGGAGGCGGCGGCGGCGGCTCCGGGGCCCGAAACGTCTCCGAGCCGAGACTCAACCACCCGCTCGCATGAGAGACCCACTTCCGGCTCCCGGCGGAAGTCCCTCCTCCGCCGGCGGGAGAGGATTGGTCAGCGACGCCGCGCCGAACGACGCGCTCGGCCGGCACCAGCTGCCGCGGATTGGCCGAGCGGAGGCCCGCGCGCGGCTTGACGCGCGGCCACACGTGACGCACGTGACGTCACCCTCCCTGAATGAGCGCGCGGAGGCCGCCCAACGCCGCCCGCCTACCCTGAGGCGTTTTACCGCCTCGCGCTAGCCCCGGGGCCGCCGGCTGGGCTGGGTGGGGCGGGTCGCGCGCCTGCCTCAGGCCGGCCCCCTCCCCCCCGGCCTGTCGCAGCTCCTATCGCGTCTGTCGCTTCCCCGGTGACGGCTGCGGGCGCCGTGCGGCTCCCCGGCAGTCCTGACAGATCTCCCCTGCGGGAGCGCGGCCCGCGAAGGGACAGTACCGGCCCTGTGAGCCCGCCCTTCGGGCAGGCAGCGCGCCTGGCCCGTGCTCGCCATCACCGCGGCCACGAGTCTGGGAAAGCTGTCGGGACTTTGCGTTGACACGGGGCGCGTTGTCGCTTGTGAAGCGCTGTCACAACAGCAGTGGGAGGATCCAGATGCCTGTCCAAAATTGCATATCCTACCACGGAATATTCTAGTTCTGAATATAGCAGCGTCTGTGGAGTGAGACTGAGTAGCTGCGGCTTCAAAAGGCAGCGATAAACATAAATGGGTTTTATGAGAAGAGCATTTCATGGAAGAGCCTTCTGTTTCAGGTGGGAGATCATTGTGTTAGTAGCGCTCTTCTAACTTACCAGCCTCTTTACTGAGCACTAAAGTATATCATCAGTTATCTGAAACTGGGGAATTCCAAGAAATTCAAGAGTTCTTTTGTTTGAGCAAGGAACAGACAACTCTTGTCTAACAGTTCTAGTTATTTATTATAAATCATAATTTGTTTTTAACTACAGTTAATGAGGCAAATGGAAAACATGCGGTTTCTTCTAAGGACTTAAAAAGCCACAAACGAACAAAAAACACTAGAAAGGATCGTCTTTCAGGATTACTCCCAGTCCTCAGCTTGCCTTTTACCTCAAACGTGGCAAAGCTACATCACCTTACAATATAATTACCTGTACTACGCATTGCTGCCCATCTTTGCATCTCAGAAATCAATCCAGATGGGGCCTTCTGACCCTGTTTTTAATCCTTACTGATGAAGAATCGTAGTTCTGCCTGCTAGAGATCCCCATGGAGACAATACTGCAGTTAACTTAGGAGACCTAAAACACACCCAGGTTTCCTTTGGAATGTTTTCTGAGGTTACTGTATTGTTCCAAATCCCTAGGTAACAGAGGAAATAAAGTATGCCATAGTACGTGAAATGAAATTAGGGCTCATCTGACGTGAAGCTTTACCATTCATCCGAGGGAAGTGTGCCTCAGGAAGTAAGTGCTACAAACACAGGTGGTGGTGTTTTTTTCCCTAGTAAGTTGTTTCGGAACTGTTACGAGGAAGAAATGCTGAGCAAAGGAAGATGGCTAGCATAGACCCTGATGAGGAAAAGGAATAAAACTTAGCTTTGAGCATAGGGAATTTATTCTTTGATGCTTTTCAGCAGACTACAGTTCTCTTCTTAGAATGAAGAAGAAACATCTAATTTTAAACTGGCAAACATCATGAGTCCCATTATATCCTTGTTTTAGAGGAGCCTCAAATTTCCTGATACCCTTTAGACATACAGTCTTCACCTCTTCCTGAAGCCATACTCCCATGCAACACTTGGACAGAAAACCAAATCCATCAGACTAATAACACTGCACTGTATCATTCCCTCTGCTGTCTCAGGGTTTATGACTGCAGAGCTCATCTTCTCCCTTTCTGTAACTGAAGGAGTGTGTGAGAGAGAAAATGACTGATTCCCATTAAAGATCAGCACATGGAAACAGCCTCGTGGTAGGAGAGAGTTTTCTTTAATGGATAGTTTGTTGTTTTGGATTTTTTCCCCAAAGCAGCTTATCTGTGTTATTAAAGGAAAAGAATACCTTTAGACTAAATTTTTTAAAAGTCCAGTGTTATAAATTTGTTACCTATTGATAAACATGTCAATATGTATCTGTGATTCTATGATTTTTATTTCCTATTGTTAACTTTTGTTGTGGTTAACAGTGAAAATAATGCACTTTTTCCATAAAGTAGTGGGAATTTTCTACTTGCTTGGGCCACTTCTAATTCTCTTTTGAGGGTGGGGGATATAGAACTTAATCAGTGAATGCTTCCAATTCTTAAAGGCATGCTGCTGAGATCAAAGAGATTTGACAATTTTCCTTGGTACGCTGCTAGCTGAGGAATGTGTGCACAGATATGAGTAAAATATTACAAATCAGCAATGGATGCTGTGTGGTAATACAAACTACTCCTGTTTCTTCTACAGCTCAAACTCAGCAGTCTGCAGAGAGAATGAATCTCTGAAGGAACAATGTGTGTGAACAACAGGATTGTGAGTCCACAAACAGCAGGCAAGATGAGACTAAGATGTAGTTGGTTCTTTCTTGATCTGTGGTCAAACAGATGTAGAAGGGATTCTGTAAGTTACTTCTCAGTATATTAGTGATTTATAAGTTGGGGGTTTTTTTCTTCAATTGGGAGTCCTAGTTCAGCAACAAAGAATGAGGTATTTGGTAAACTTAAGAAGGTAACTCCTTACAAAAAGGAACTGCAAAAAATACAGTATTCCTGGAAGCTAAACCTAGAATTGAGCAGTCAGAAACTCAGACCCTTAGAAGTCACTAAACACATTGCAATGCTTGGACTTTACAGTCTTTATGATTTCCTTTAAGTATAATGCAAAGGATAATATTTCCTTCCCCAAAAGAGCATAGAGAACAATTCATTAAAGTTTGTGAAGCACTTGGGTGACATAATAAAAATTCCACTGAAACAGGACTAGATTGTTCCTTCCAGCCTTGTTCCTTCAGCAGGTTAGTCAGATTTCTTTAAGACATAGGGACCATTTTAAAATAAAGTTGTGGCATGAGTGCCCACCCTTGTAAAATCTTGGTTTTCATTAATATGGGGTAAAAAAGTCTAAGCTGAAGATGGTACCGTGAATATTAAAACCATTGTTAACTGCAGCTGATTACAAACTTTGAGGAGATGGTTTAACAGTAATAATTACTGTTAATTGGGCATAATCACAACTCTGGAAATAACCATTCTATTTCATGCACTTTACACTATCATCAAACAGACAAAATAACTGTTACAGCTGAAACCAAAACACTAGTATAGAGGCCTTACTTTGTCTGTATGGAGCAGGTCTGTAGCAGAGCCAGGACTTGAAAACAGATCTCTCACATTCTGGGTTTGTACAATATGCTGTCTTCGATTTAGTTATTGTTTGTCTGTGACAATATTTGTTTCTGTAGCATGAACCCATTTTTAAAATCTAACTAGACCTTAATGGGAATCATATAATTTATGTAAATTTTGTGGCTGAATAAGAATTTTCCAAAGGGAGCTGAAACCAACTCAATGTAACCACTGTGTGAAATATAAATGTATTTATGCCCAGTTAACAGGTAGCAAACTAAGGTATGAAGATGTTTGAGCTCAGTGTTGTAACTGTGCAGAAGTTGTGTATGCTCTGAGAAAGTACTATAATTTTTTATTTCTGTCCTCTTGAGCCCTATGCTAAGATTCAGTGTGGAATATACATATGCATATATTTAATTCCCCAAGCTTCCCATTTCAAACATGAGTATCTTTGATTGTATTTCCTGCTGTTATTCTCATAGATTGTAAAAAGATTTTCTGTTTCCAATTTTTGCTTTTGTATGCATTTTTGATTCTCTCATTCTCAAATATGTTGGAGATCTGTGAGGAAAATTGCATGGAAGTTTTCAGGCTACTAGATGAGTGATTTGCAAAGATAGCAATATCAAATGTTTCTAGTTGTACATAGATGTGCATAGATTGTGTAAGGCACAATAGTGAGCCGGGTTGAAAAGATGAAAGATAATAACAAATATTTAAGATTTGAAACATAAGCAAATAGCCTCTATAGAAATATGTGTGGCACCTATTTTTCCAATTATTCAAGAAAAATGTAGTCTTTGACTGAAATCAACATTTTATTTGGCCATTAGTCAATTTATCATCAGATAGGCTTTGTAATGGCCTGTCTGTCACAGCAGAATGTAGAATTCAGGAAGTGTCTCTTTTTTTAAGTTTATTCAGGCCAAATGAAACATTCATTACAAAAAATGTGGTTCTAAAACAACACTTTTCCCTGAATCTAGCATTAGTCATATCACTAAATATTATGCAGTGCTATTAACATAGAACACAATTTAAATCACAGAGCTCTCCTAAATTTTCTATTTACTTGGAGAAGCTGCTTTAACCCTGCATCAAATATCTGTCTGTGACACAGAACTGCAGATGGTTCTAAAGACAATCAGAAGTGTATTTGTTCAGTTATAGCAATAGTGAAGATCCTTTAGCTCTTATTCATGGGTGTGTATTCCTTGGTGGATAAAGCAACGCATCTGGAAATGGTAAAGCTTAGTAATGAAGAGTTAGCAGATTCTCTGCTTGCTTGAATGTTCATTTGAACTTGGAAACTGTATTGCTGCTTGGCTATAGAGCTACTCCATTCTCATCGTATAAATGGCTGTGCAGTGTTGAAGGACAGGGAGATTGGAGTCCTCACCTTATCTTTTACAGAAATGGATGTTTTCAGATGGTAGATGTGTCATTAATCTGTGATGGGTGGGTGTCCTACTTATGCATGTATTTACACACAAGTGTCTGAATTAGTACAGGGGAGAAGGAGATTTTTATTTTTTTCCCTATCAAATTGAGCTGTGGATGGATTATGAGGCTGGGATAGTGTGATTTGTGTAATAGAGCTGTACAGGTTGGACTTCAAGAGATTGTACTCGCAGCGTGATGACAAGTGCAGCCTGGTTCGTGACCAGAAAGGCAAGACTGTATTGACAGAGGAAGGGAAGAAGTACGTTGCCCTTTGCCCTTCAGAGTCATGATTTCATGTGTAACTTGCATGGTGCAACTGATGTTCCTTCGGCTAGGCACCTTTGGGTTTCCCCTTCGTCTCCATCTCCATCAAATACCTACAACAGTGGGATGCTGAGGGTGTAAATTTACTCTTAACACCATAGAAGAAGACTGCTGCAGGCTGCTATGTCATATGTGTATTGGATACAAGACAGGTCATCTATAATGATGTGGCTAAAAGTTTCAGATTTATAATAAAGAGCACTTGATGGAGACTGTGGTAAATATACAAGAAATTCAGACACAGGTTAGTATTTCAAATGCCATGAACCAGTGACTATTACAAGTTTAAAAATTACTTTGAAATACTGTGGTCTAGTTGTAGGGTCTGAGAGATGCTTTAGTGTCAGCATGCTGGATAGTCCTTTACATCAGGAGCTTGTTCCTAGGGGCATAGTGGGTTGCAGTAATCCCTTTAACACTAGTCCTTTCTAGGGTCATTGCATCACTGGATAGAAAGGAGTGTATCCAAAACACCCTTTCAGTGCTGGTGATTTCCAGCTGCTGTCACAGTCCTTTGAGACCAGTAGTAGCTGGTGTAGTTGGGAAGGGACTACCCAGACCATGCCAAGAAGAGTTGGCTCCAGGCAACTGTGCTTCACTCGTCTTCAGATGCACTCAAACTGCTCAGTCCAAGCAAGAAGAGGATGTATCCTTTCTGAAAGTACTGGGTGTACAGTGTCTGACACTTCATTTCAGCCCAAGTTGGTTGTTCCTGGCCTTGTTTTTTTTTTCACAACTTCAAGAAATGATCCACTCTACTGCTTATAATTAATTATATCCAACAAAAGGGATTCTTCTGAGAGCTTTACACCTTATGGCTGGATTATGAGGTGACATCTTTCTTAGTGATACAAAGTACTTGAGATAGAAGAGGTGATTATGGAGGATAGCAGGAAAGGTGGCAGGTGAACCCAATTTGTTGTATTCATCAGTCATGACTTGAAGCATTTTTGGTTTATTTCATTTCACACATCCTTTTGAATTATAGGCTTATTGCTCCTGAAGCTGCAGAGCTGAAGGTGATTATTAGATAAGTCAAAAAAAAGTGTCATTCTTCACATGCTGAAATGTCTAAAAGCTAATTCTGTTGTAGATCACCTGTACTCTGCTATGTAAATAAGAACAGATAATGGCAATTTATGCATCACAAAAATTAATCACATGAAAGCAGGGTCTGTAGTCAGTAGGAATCAATAACATCCAGTCCTAAAAATCTACAGATCATGCATGAATACTTTTAATTAATTATATTAAATAATTTTACCGTAAATTTTAACCTGCACTTGCACATGTATTTTGAGATAGATTTTTTATTTTTTTTTTTTGTCCAGAAATGCTCACTAGTCTCTGCTTGGTCTCTGATAAACCAGCTCCAAGTTCCCTATAATCATCCTAAGGAGAGTAGGGAAAAGGAGGGTCAAAGCAGAGCTGGTTGTCTCAGAGCTCCTTCTTAAGAGGATCTCTACGTTTGTCACCAGGGTGGAGGGGCAGAGTGGCTTTATGTCTTGCACTTGGCTAGCTTTACTTGTAAATACTTCTAAATTGCCGTACATCATAGTTACTTAGGGTTAATCTATTTAAAAGAAACCTCTGCTGCTTGATCTTCAGATATTTTATATCCATAATTTATAGATACAGTATACCATATACACACTCTAACTGGGTTCTCTGACTTGTGCTCTGCAAAAGCAAGCAGGCCCTCAGATAAAGAAGCAATGATTCCAGAAGAAAAGACCATTAACTGTTGAAACTTTGTAAAGTCATGTCTGATTGTTCTTCACACCTCTTCCCCCTCAGTCGGAGATGATGACTCTCTGGAGACCTGTAAAAAAAATCACTTCATGCTGCTGAATATGAGAAATTGTCAAGATGATTTACTCAATACAGTCTTATGACCTCTCTTCCCTGTTGCAGAGCCCTTTTCCATGACCTGGAGATTCATTTCTGGTTTTCAGCCTCAGAAAGATTCCAGTAAGAGGGAAGGTTTCCACACCAGTTGTTTTCTAATGCTCAGAAAGATCAGTTAAATCTTACTTGAGAAGTCACAATGCTTTCTTCTCAGTTTAAGCTTCAGGTGGTGTTCCTGGCATCTGAAACATGTTCCTAACCAAAGGTCCTTGATCCTCAGGATATTTTTCAGAGGAAGTGTTTACCGATATAAATTGCTGTTGCTCTCATAAAAATTTCTGACTCATCTGTTTCCCCATCTACAACAGGGAAGTTGAAGATCAGCTCAAGCTTCTGGCTGCTCCAAGACTCAGAGAACTCTTGCTAAAGTAACCATCTCTAAGGAGGCAGGGGGTTAGTTTGTTCTCTTGTCTTCGACACCAACTCCAGCAGCACCGACACCAACTCCATTAAATCATCCACAGGTTGAGCAGGGCCAAGCACTTGGTGGTAATGGATTAACTTCGGAGCTGAAGCTACACTGATGCCCAGTAATAAGCCCCGACTTCCAACTGCCACATCAGAAGGAGAAAGGTCGTGTTTAGTATTTGGCAATGC